CGATCTGAAGACTCAGCCTACAATAAGCCCAATGGTTTTTAAGCAACTTTGTGATAGAGTAACTTCCCAACAGGGTTGCTTACGAAATGCTAATAAGTGCCTACATTTATACATTTCCATACATATTAGCATATTTTCATTGCTGTCTTTGATTTTTCTGCTGCAATTGTTTCTCATTCTTACCCACATATGTACATACTTACATCTACATTGTGTCAGAGAACACGGAAATACATCTTTGCTGCATTGTTGCACTTTGCAGTGATGCAGCGTTCAAGCACAACCTGCACATTTTCACGCTCAAATGCATTCATTTTGGTCTAATCTCACGTAATTTTCAGTTCAAAGCAAATTTTGTAAAAGGGAATGTTAATTGAAAAGAGAAAAAGCAACAGTAAACACAAATACAAAATATTTCACTCGCCCGGTAGTGTTACGCTGTGAAGCAAATTTTTTCGAAATTGATTTTGAAAGTACAGTTAATTTTAAGCTTGATTTTCGAACTTTGCACCTTTGAATAATTCGGAACTGAGACTTTTGAATTTTTGTAATTAGTGTAAATACTTAAAATTCTTCTTGATATTGCTTTAATTTTTTTAGTATTTTAGGCCGGTGCACTTCGTTTAGACTTTTGGGCAACGAGAAATTGTATATGTGTACTTGCACATAATTCATTTCTGCATCACTAAACCATTTTTCCGAAATTGCTTCTTCGCTCGAACATTAGCTCGAATTGCAGATTCAAATATCTACAAAATTATCAAGTTAAATTCAATACAAGATGGTGTGTGGATACCTATTAAAGCGTTTTCCTCCATATACATATATATTTTTTGTGGCAGTCTCTTGAACTTACGCTAGTTGCCTGTTCGATTCGCGTCTTTGTAACTTTAGATGATTCAAAGTCAAGTTCGATCAATATATACGAGTTATGTTGGCTAAGTTTCATTCAAAATCGGTGGATCTCACTAGGACAGATATTCGTCCTTGTGTAACCCATAAACTCCTAAAAGTGGATCACCAGATCTTCTTAGATCGAATTTCGTTAAAGCTGTGTCTATCGCGATATTTCAATGTCAATCTGGCGAAAGTCGGCCAATAGAGAAGCAAGTGACAAGAATGCGTCTGTCAACCAGCAATCTATGGTTTCCGTATATACTTTAAATTTATTCTCGTAACAACATGCACTCATATGAACAACTTGGAAAGCGGTTAGAAATGCGCAGACATTCAATTTGTCAGATAATGCCAAGACTGGTGCCACAAATTAGAGAAGGCATTAGGCAAACATCTCTCACTAATATAAGTACCTTTCAGATGCTTATATATAAGCTGTAGGGGCGAAAGGCGCAAAACCCATTCGCAAGCACCTTGTTAAGTTGGCTGCCCTTCACCACTTTTGTCAAACATGTTTATTTACTTTGCATTCATATATTTAAATGTTTACGCAAGAGCTTACACGTACATATGTTTATGTTTATATTAAGGTGATCATATTTTAGAGCAGTATATTTCCTACAGTATGCTAAGTTTTCCGATTTATAATTACTTTTTTTTTTTAGTTATAAAATTTATTAAAAAAAATGCCTAGAAATAATCAAACCTTAACCGTTAAAATCGTTAAGTACCTTTTTGCAGAGCATACAATTTTCTACAAAGTCTATGAAACGAGATATTTTTTAAAGTAATTGGAACCGAGATTTGTATTTTTCTATCCGATAATAAGAAAGAAACTAGAAAACTGTCAGGCAAAGAACCTTCCCGTTACAATTAAAAGCTCATATTTGATGAAGCTCTTTTAGAGGTGTCTATGAGACAAATTTTTTCACAGTACCAAACTAAAAAAATTATTCGTTTTTTGACCTACCCTAATGCATGTGCATGTCTACATGTGGCAACACCGCTCAGCAAGTGCAAATAATTTCATTAATTTTATTAATTCGCATTTGACATTTCCAAAGACTTTACGAGTGCGCTCCCCTAATGGGCCGCCACCACGCACACATACGCGCATATAAGACACCTTATAAACATATCGTGCGCATATCGACAGCGACCGCATCACCAACACCTTCGGACCATCTTGATATGTTATCAAATAAATTTGCAAACTTATGTTTGTACTCGTGCTCGTATGTTGAAAATGCGACAAAGCCTGCAGAAGTTGCTGACAGCTGGGAATGTGCTCCCTTCTATGCATGTTTGTGTGTATGTGTGTGTATGTTGTTGACTGCCATTACTTCAAGCAATACATAATTACTGTATAGTGTTGCGAAGCGCTCCTACAAAGTGAGTTTAAGAAATTGAAATGTGGCAATATCTGAAGCAAATTTATTTGCATATACAATACGTAGATACACACACACAAGCACATTAATAGTTGTATGTACATATGTATGTAAATGTGCGCGCGTTGCTGCTGAGTAAACTGTTTCGGCCGCGCGCCCATTACATGCCACGCATTACAGCAATGCTGTAAACACAACAATATTATGGGGAATCATTGAAGAAAAACTAACAACAACACTAACAAAGGGGAAACAAATTTTGTACAGTTGATTAAACAAATAAATAATTGATTTTGCATGAATGAACTCACAAAGGAATGTGTTTCATTTTATTTATTTTGTTTGTATTGCTTGTGTTGCAAAACTACGCACGTTGAGGCTTTCAAGCATTTTAAGATCTCCAATTTCTGCACTGTCTAAATATGGCACAATCGTTTCCAGTTGCCTTCATTTTTATTTATTTTTAGAATTTTGTGTTAAGTTCGATACGAACACATACTTTACCCATTAAGTGGAAGCTTGTAAAATTATTAAGTTAATTCCGCAAAGTTCTTTTGTGCCTTTGAGAGACTTTTCCACCCTGAAAATACACCCTTGTTAATTTAAAACGTTACGCACTTATCCAAACTTTATCTTTTTAAAGCGCGGATCTGAAGGTTTATCTTCCATTCAAGTGGATTGGGTTCAGAACTATAAGAACTCGCATATTGAATAATGCCATCATCCACGCCTCCGCACTACATAGCTTACTACGGTCATGTTTAAGTACATTAAAATGATAACTTTCGTCATCGGTTACCAAAAAAAATCTGTTAGTAATATTGAAAATACTATTTAAGTGCTCTGCTCTGTTTATGCAAAAGCGGGTCTAACTTCTTGGTCCTATACATAATTTCTTACTTAAACCCTAACCTATAATCTAAACTATCTACTGTCATAACTTCTTATTTCACTCACTTCAATCCACTCACCCAATTCGATATCCAAAATATGACATCTCGAAAACGAGTTCCCAAAACTCTAAACTCTAAATTTTAACTATTTACTTATTACCACACTCTGTAACTCGCCGCTACAATTGCAACTCAACAAAAGTGTGCTGCATAAAAGTCATCATCAACGTCACTAAACGATAAGTGAAATTTATAATAATTTCAAAATACTCAAGTACTTGAGATGACTCTTATAAAATGACAGGAAAAGGCCACTTTACTTCCTTCGCGCCGGCACTCAGCGTCAGATTTGTGTTTGCTCGTTTATGGGTTTCTTGTTAGCGTTCAATACTCGTGCAACATGTTGTGGCAACTAATATCGGTGCTGACAGCAGCTACAACAAAAACAGCAGAATTTTTGGAAACAGTAATTGTTTTTATGATTGTTGTTAGTGAGCTATCGAAATATTTCCTTGAAGTTGATCTAAATTTTTTTAGTATTCTGAAGTGTGAGTTAAAGACGTTGCTGTCGTTCAGTAGTGTTTTTGTTTTCTATAACTATAACATGTGGTTAGTAACAACAATAGTTCTACTAATTAATATATTCTGTTTAGAAACCGAACTAAAATATTTGAAAATAAAATTTGTGCGCTACTGAAATCTGTATTATCTAGCGGAATCATTTACTGTTGAAGGGTTTGCGACAATAGTGGGTTATTTTGGAAGTATAACGATCAAAAAGTGAAATTTTAATTGTTTGAAAGCTAAAAAGTTATTTGGAATAGAACATTTGTTGAGAGCAAAAGGGGTAAAATGGGGAGATTAAACTCGAACTGTCATTCGATACAATGCTTTGACTGCCGACTTCTCTGCAAAGTTTACCTAAATGATCTCAGATGAATATGAGTACCAATTGTACTGGTAGCCTATAAGTGTATTAATTCTCCACAAACAGGGTAACACTGAGCATATTTTCGACTGACTTTGCTTTTACACTCTCATAATTTCGTTAGGGATGTCTATAATTTTTTTGATTTTTTTTATTGTTGGATATTTTAGTTATTGCAATCAGTGATCGTTTTATTGATGTCAAGAAGTGCACAGGTCTTGTTGTTAAGAAATTTTGCAGTTTTAAGCTATACATGTACGAGTGTATACTGTAGAACTGTTATGAAGTATGAGAGAGTCAAAATTATGTTAAATGTTTTATTTCGCAGTAGATTCGGAGGGCCTTATTTCCTTTGTATATTCTGTTCGATGTGTCTAGACCTTCAAAATCGTATGTAATGCATAGGAGTAAGCCATAATCAGTTTTCAGTTCATATAGAAAGGTTACTGTCAATTTAGCTCTTCATCTAATTCGCCATAATTTCCAAAAGAAAATGTAGTAACTAGTACTAATGCCACTGTAGTGCTCACCACTCAATGTACTTGCATTTTCCGTTCTAAAACCACATTTGGGACCACCGCCATTTACAGCAACAACAACGAATGGCGTTGAAACGATCAGTGAGTTGAAGTCGTCGCGTCATTTCAAGTGTTGCTCGAGTAGAGTTTGGCTACTTGAAATTATTGTTTTTTCTGTGGTCAAATTTCAGTTTTTTTTATTTATAAATTATAATTTTTTTTTTATTAATTTTTTGTGTTTTTTTATTTATTTATTAATTTTTTTGTTTTTTTTTTTTGTTATATTTATTTCAATACACCTGCTGCAGTAGCTGTTTCTTGTGCCTTATATTGCTGCCGTTTACCTTGTGTGGGTAAATAAGAAGTAATCATATATAATTTTCTCTTTTCTCCTTGTTCTTCTATTTATTTTATGCTTGTCTTTACAAATTTTCAGCAAACTAATGAAATCGACCGCTTCCTGCATTATCCACCGTAAACATCCTTCTACCGCCACTTAACTAATTTTTCTTATAAATTTTGAATTTCTTACACACCTCGCACACACACCAGAATACGAAACTTGGTTTTTAACCTAAAATGTTGAAAACCAAAAAAATTTTTATGAATCTTTTATTTGTTTTGAACTTTTCATGTTCGCTGCGTTGAGTGGTTGCCCCGATTTTGTACACACGTTTTTTTTTTGTATGTTTATATAGAAATTGTTGTTGTTTTTTATAAATAAAATGTTGTTGTGCGCTTATTTGCTTGCTTACTTGAGTGCTTGGGTTTTTCTTTGAAGCACAAATAATGTTGAAAGCAATACATATGTATGTGTGTAGGCCTTGAAACAAAGTGCAAAACAAAATATAGGAAAAAAATTATAAATAAATAAATAGCAGTAGTGGTTGTTGTTGTAATATGCGCTCGAAAATCATACGCTACATGCTACAAATACAGCGTAGCAGCAACAAAGAGCATGTTGTGGCAGTTATGCATTATTTTCTTATTTTTGTTGTTATTGTTTAAGCTAGTGCGCGCTATCTAACTGTATAGGCTGCGAGCGCCTTTAGTAACTCACAGATACACACATTTAACTACTAGCGCTCGTAATCGATCTACGCATCTGTGCGCTTCATTCATAACTCCGCTTGTGTGTGTTTGTGTGTTCGTGTGCCTGCAGCTTTATTTACTTTCGTTTGCATACAAATGTGCCCGTTAATGTGTTTGCTGTGTACTCATGTGTAGCCACAAGTACTTCACCTCCTCACACACACACACACACATGCTCATGTTTGACTCGACCATTTGATTTCGCCTTAGTGCGCTTGCATGCCACACAGCTATCTAGTACTATAGGTTGTGTTAGCTAGTGTGCGTTCAAGTGTCAAGTGGGCTTGTTCAGTTGGCATTTTTTGACATGCCGTTGACGTTTACCGTCGCTTCTGCTGAAAAACCTTCGTAGCCTGTCGCTAGCGGCTCTGACGTTGACGCTGCGCCTGCTCAAGTGCTTGCCCACCATTTATCGAACAATTGGTCCAACGCGTCTTCGCAAGTCGCATATACATATACTTGTATATGTATATAGCTTTATAGTTTGTGTGCGCCTACTATTTATTGAGTATCGAATAATTTGTTGTTCATTTTGCTGGCAATGCAAATGTTGGCGACTTGGCGGAGGCGAACCCGTCTCCGCGCTGTGTACTCTGTTGAGGCCGCAAAATTATATTCGTGTTCTCATATTTGCATTTATGCAGATGTCTTTTTTTTCTTATCTACCTTTGTATGTACTCGTACACAGTGTTATGAATTTTTTAGTATATTTTTTGCTGTAGTCTACTTTCTTGTCTTATTGCGGCTCAGGTTCGACGTGTAATCTTCATTGAAATTTGAGCCCTAAATATGCGCATATATCTGTGAGATACTTTTAGTTTCACAACATACATTATTTATACGCTTACATACATATTTACATTTGTAGGTGTTTTTATGCTACGTTGGCTTACTTTTGCATGTGAAATTTGAAGCCTAAATTTGCTCCAAATTTTATCCATGAATTTTCTCAAAGTAAATTAATTTAATTTTTTTTTATTATTCTGCTAAAAAATTTTTTGTAGTCGTTATAAATTTAGAAATTAATTTAGCATATTATTCCCACATTAATATTTTTTATACGTATGCTGATCAAATATAGGTTTAGGTATCTCAGGGTGACATCTATCGTTCTTGACAAGTATTTCTTAAGATCTACCTTAAGATCAATCTATCTATTAGATATAAAGAATCATCTGTCTTCTTTTGCTGCCTTCTAAGTTACATAAACCTATCGAAACAAAATCGCAAGCATTGAAAGTGAAAGTATTAACCAAATAAGCAGCTAATCATTTTAACTTATGAACCATTAAAACGCCACTTATAAAGAAAACTTCAATGATTAATAGCAAAGAGCTAACACCTTGTGCCTCTAACTTTACATATTCACACATTAACCCACTTTGAACAGGTTCTGCGCGTGAACACCTATGTAGGGCAAGTAGAACAATGATGACCTTTGCCAAAAAAAAAAAAAAAAAAAAAAATTAAAAATAAATAAAAACAAAAAACCGGGAAAAGTGTAAAATTTAATAAAGCGCATAGTTACAAAAACAGCAACAACTTTTTATGAGCGTATTCGATTTCGAAAAAATGTACTCATGTACATATATTTATTTTTCATTTAGTATGCCAGTTTTAGTAAAGTACAATATCAATATATATAGGTAAATATGTGTGTGTTTTAGCACATCTAAAAAAAGGCCGCATGATCTCTGTAGTATTCACATGTATACCTACATTCATACATATATAGACATACTCGTTGCTGTAATAAAACGACGACTCCGACGCACACAATAAACACATTCATATGCTTAGTAGCATTTTATGACTTTTTTATTGCGGCGCAAAATATATAAACTCGCACACAGCTATAAATACATAAATAAAAGTGTTCAGAAAATTATGAAATACGAGTATCGCATGCGTTAAATAACAAACAAAAGGTAACAAATTACTAATTTACGGTATAGCCGTAGCTGATCTGATATTAATGGGATTTTATTTTTGTCTGCCATAAAAATGTAAAAAGAAAATGCTTTTAACCATGCAAATTTGTATTTGTTTGTTTGTGTGTGTTAGTGACCGGCTGATCGCAAAGTTAGTAGTACAGCATGCATTTGTTGTTGTTCTTGTTGTTGGCTTAGTCACTCACAAGCTTTTTTAGTTTGCTATAATTGTTTACAATTTCAACTTTTTTCTAGCCACTTTTGTATTTTTTTGTTGCTACATTATGCATTCGTATTTAGTAAAAACAAATTTATTGAAATATTTGCTTAATTTACAGTATTTAAAATAATCAAATTGTAAATTATATTTTGGTTGCTAATTTACATTCACTAATTTGCATAAGCGTTAAGTTATTCATATATTTTTATTTTAATAATTTTTTTGAGACATATGCTTGTGTACGTCTAAAAAATATGCTTGTAGCATAAAATAATTAATAATAACCAAAGCAGCAAGAAGGGCTTGAAATTAATATTCTGAAAGCTTTTATTAGGCTAATGAATATTTGTAATGCATTTAATCTTAGAATTTTGCAGTATACAGCGTGAAATTTTATTAAATGACGTTGCAGCAGATGATTTTTTTATAAAGTATAATTTAAAGAAATTTACATTAGCAAAGCTGTATTTTTATTTTATTTTTGCAAATTAATTTTCTTCATGTAATTTTACATTACATGATGTACTTAGTACTTCGAAATAAATTTGCGTAATCTGATATTTTTTTTTTAATATGTTTATCTCTTTGGCATCAGCAAGGCGTTGGCATCTGAAATCGCGTATAACATATTAAATTATATACATACAGATATGTATACTTTAATATTAATTTTTTTCATATAACCTTTCATCACATGCTTTTCCCAAATCGATTTCTCTTGCTATTATAATATAGTTTTTTTTATGAGCAAATATTATAATGAATTTCCTCGCAGTAGTCCACATAGTAATACAACATAAAATTAAAAAAAAATTTTTTTTTTGGTAAATTATACTGTTTTTGAAGTCATCACATGATCTCTTTTTATCAAATTCTCCCAAGCAATACTTCATCATACTTGATAGATATCAGGTAGTGGCGTAATTTTAGAATACATATTTTGATTGATCAAATCCGCCTGTTGGCTTTTTTTGACATGTGATAAAATAATATCTTACATAATATTACTTATATCACGTGATATTCGTAATGTACAATTGAAACTTACTATTAATATTGTTTGAAGCTTAAGAAATGTTTCTGTTTAAAATTAACCGTATTATGAAACAGACGAAACATTTTCACATGACGTTACATCATAAGAATAAAGTCGCGTGACTTTTCCTCTCTCTTTTCTATTTTTTTTTTTTGTTTGCAGAACATTTATTATTCTTCTTTTTCCATTATCCCATCTTTGTAGTAAAAAATATATATAAAATTGTGTTTATCACGTGATTCGATTTTTCATCACATCACACTAAACATTTATTGAAAAACAGTAATAAACAATTATTTTTTTGTTTGTTGAAAAATTATTATAAAAACTTAATGCAAATCAGAAACGTGCTATTTGTATCACATTACTCTCTGCACATCATATATGTAAGATTAGGTTTTTTCTAGATTTTATCTTAATATAGAACAAAAAATTTCACATATTTTTCGCTTTTTCTTTTACATGACTTCACATCACGTGATATTTTAAAAGCATTAATATTTTATGTTTTGTTAAAAGAACCCAACCTACAGTGCATAATTGGAAAACGTGGTACAAATTCACATCACGTGATATTTTTATGATATCACATCTTTAAATCATATTAATAAGTGCATAATTTTAAGAAATTTTACCGACATACATATGTGTGAATATCAAAATGTTGCATATTTTTTCGCTTTTTTCATCACTTTCGATCACATATTGTAACTTAATTACACGTGATATTGAAATGATATCACATAATATCATTAAGAGTATAATTTTCCAAGATTTTATCGACATACATGTATGTAGAAAACGTTTCGATCATTTCTTATTTATTTTCGCATTACGTACAATAACTTTTATCACATGACTTTTAATCACGTGATTATAAAATAAACTATAAAACTTCAGTTATAATTTTTTTCTTAATACGATCACTATATATTAAATATATTTGCTTTCCAAATTCATGTTACGCATATTAGCCAATATATTTATGTACGCTCACTAAGCCAACATATATATGCATGTACTTGTACATTGGCACATGCCTCATTTTCTATCAATGCAACATTACGTTATTGCGTCATTTTATTGCACCATGATTAACGAGTGTTTTAATTTAGTTTCAAACTCCTCGTAAAAATATTTACATGCTTCTACGAAACCTACATCACATGCGTTCAACGCCTCGATTGCTGCGCTTTCAGCTACAATAAGCTTATGCAAATGTTCGGCATCACACATTTACTGGCACTTTCAGCTCTTGATTGAGATATTTTTATGAGTTTTTAATACAAAATAGCAACCCACCGCCGTGCCAGTTGTTTGTGTTGCTGTTGCCGTTGTTGCATCTTCACGCCAATTGTTGAACAAGCAGCGCTTACTGCCGATATGCTAAATAAGATAGCCGCTTAAATCGGTGATTTAAGGTCGTAAAAAAGTGTAGCTCATTACATTATAAGCAAGCTGGTCAATCTATAAGAGTAGTAAGCCAGGCAATAACACGAAGTTGTTGCTGGAAGTGATTTGCTCTGTGGTGCGCGCAGCAATATAATGGCTTTGTAAAGAGAAAAAGGCGCGTTATAATAAAAATGATTTTGCTAAAAAGTATTAACTAAAGTCTCGGAATTGAAAGCGAAAAATGTGAAATCAAACTTTGAGAGCAAAAAAAGATTTTCGATAGTAAAACAACGAAGAGGCAAAAGCGTGAATGCATAAATAACGAAATTTATTTCTCCCACGATCGCAGCAAGCTTTCTGGCCGAAGCAGGCGGCGTGTGGAGAAGCGCGTTATTCACACAGAAACTGAGTGACTTTGGTATTCACTAGGGTGGTGATTAACAATATTTTAAAAACGATTTTTGGTACATCCAAGGATTAGTCATATAAATTTAAGTTCTAGCTTCGAACGTTTAGGCAAGATCGCTTAGGTTTTGAATATATATTAAATGTAATATATATACATATATGAGTTTCGGGTGATTATGAGGCGTTTTGAACTCTATATATATATATAGAACCAAAGAAGTCTAATATTGAAACCTCGTAATTAGGGCTCTGTGTTCAGGAATAAACTTAGATATATTGTTTTTCATGTACACAAAATTTCCTAGAGTGTTAGCTGTCAAACAAGCTGTCAAAGTAAAAAAATAACCTTCCAAAAATTGGTATCCTATATACCTATTAAAACCTTAAACTGAGTCCTCTCGAATTATGCACTTTTTTTGACCCAATCGTATCAAAAAGTAAGTCTGTCTAGTAGTTATTTAGGCCATATCATTTCGTTTGTGAAAGTATATCCAATCTATGGTCTAATCAATTAACTACGAGTTTACAATTCTAAATCAACATATGTTGGCGTTAGAAGACTGCCAACGTTGCAAAAAATTGCTCAAAATTTAACCGAAGAGTTCTATATAATAAACGATTTCTTTCTCTCTCTGATATCCTCAAATTAGGTAGCGTCCACGTAGAAATTTTTTACTCGCCGCTCTAACGTATCACCCTAATGTTTATTGTTATAAATCGCACAAGTGGGTACTTAATACCAATAGCCGTTGTATTCGCGCCCGCCGGCGCACCACCGGCATTTTCAGTTTGTTATTCTTCCCGAGCTTTTGTATGCGCTTTTATGCTTACCTCTACACACTTATGTGGAATGTGCCGAACTACAACCGATGCTTTTAATTTAAATGCCGATTTTTTACAACTTTTACGACTCCGCACCACACACTTTTATTGCAGCTTTATGCGGTTTAGTAGTGTTTCTCTCCCACTTTTCGTTGCAGTCACACGCCCTCCTGTCCGATCTTTAGTTCGTTTTCACATTTTATATTGTTGTTGCTTTTTGCTTTTCTTAATTTTTACTTCATCATTGCGGCGCTGCTGTGCTTTTGTTGGCCACTTGATTGCCTATTTTGTGTTTACGCCAACGAGAGTGGATAAAATTTGGTAATAATGTTATAGGAAATCTCATTTTGTTATACCAAATTTGCTCGTAAAATTTTTTTAATTTTTTTCACTTCTATTTTCATTTATAAGTGTCTATTAACATATGAAAAAGATAATGATAATCATAAAATAAGTTAAAAATTCAATTCTCATTTGGCATTTCATTTTGGGCGAAACTATAAATTCAAATGAAGAAAGTTTGTGAAAAATATTTGGTCGTAATTGAATTTCTAAAGGAAAGTGAGTAAATTGCTGAAAATTTTTATTATGCAAATAATAAGTAGATAAGACAAAGAATTAAGCTGGGCTATTGCTTTATGACCTTAAAGCTCTATGGCTTAAAAAGCACTATGCATGCCGATTGTTTTCTTTAAAAATCCATTGCAGAAGTTGAGATCTATTTCTTCTGTGTTGTTACTGATTTTGACGGCATTTAGGAAAAATGCCTACTTAGTGTAGCTCTCTTCACTTCATCGCAAACTTTCATAGCTCAGCTACCTCTTCTTTCCTACCTACTCTTTCTTATGCTACAAACTGGTATTAACTCATTTCAATGTATTGCTTTCGGGTTGGAGTTGCGTATATTATTCTGATATTCTACAGCCAAGTGTATGAGATGCATTAAGGGCTGATTTTAAGCTGGAGACCTATACCGTAATTATTGAAAATACAAATTTTTTTTCAAATCTAAAGTGTTTGAGACCTATCCGAGATTAAACTTGATGTAAAAATCAAGTTTGGAACTTTGAAGAACAATATTTTATATCGATAAACGATTCCACTCTGTACTCGCGAAAAAATTGGCGAGTGTGCAAGGAGCGGCTCTCATCAGTCTGTGTAGTGCACTATTTAACGGTGGTGTGATAAACCGGAAAGTGTGTATGGTCGCATTCTGGAATCCTCGCACACTTTGATTTTATTCAAAATTTGCTTAATAGTTCGACGCGCCTAGTTCTGGGTGTGGTTTCCCTGCTCACAAACTTCCGGGTGAGGTATGTAAGGAAAGGTCTCGTTGGCTATGAGTTTTTCACAGATGATTAAGTATCTAAGCAGATTTGTGATAAGTTCAAGGCGTATTTAGCAATCTAAGTGTGATCTCCCACTAACTTGGGGCATCAGCGTACCTAACCTCACTCGGAACTATTTTAATTCTGGTCTCAAAAAGCACGCTAATTCGCAATAAAGTGAATAAAAATTAAAACTGCTTTCACGGTTAATTATAAAATTTTATTTTTTTTATTAATTTTCAGTATTTTTTTTTTATATATTTTATATAATTTTTTCGACACGCATTGTTGTACCAATATTGGCTTAGATCACCGCTAGCGTTTGCGCAGCAAAGACCAAGCGCCTCATTAAAGAATGGCAACTTGCTAAAACAGTAGCCGCAGACTCCGTAGTGTGCTTTGCTTACTAACTATAGTCTTTTAAAATGCTTATGAACATATATTTATGTACTCTTATGTGTGTGTGTGTGTGTTCTACCTTTTTCGTTTATACACTTGTTTTGCAGTTTTTGCTTGTATCCACTTCTCTGCTCATCGGTTGGGTATTAACTGTGATTAATCTTTTTCTAATTCTTTAGTATATAAATATATATATATATGTATATTATGTATATTATATATGTATATATATGTATGTGTATTTGAGCTTTGTTGCTGCCGTTTTGGCCAATGAACTGCTGTGACCCAAGTGGCTGCGGAAAGGCTGCAGGCAAAACACTGTGCATATGAAAACATACTAACACATATATGTATGTATGTTCATACATATGTATATTAATGTTTGTATGCCAACAAAAATGCCCATTACTAAGACCAACTAAAATATCGTTAAACGAAATTCTTTCATAATTTTTACAAGAAATTCAGAACAGCACACATGTTCTTGCCACCAACTCTTGCCTTGCCGCCGTTCAAATAATTTTTAAACACATACACACATGTATGTATTTATGCATGTATGTCAATGTTTTTCTACTATATTTAGGGAAATGCGCACATCCGCTTTTGTGGCTGCCAATCTCAAATAAATATTCGAAATTTGCCTATATGTATACAAACATATGTCTGCCACTACTCACAACACGCCAACCACTCACGACACACACATACATTCACAAAATATGCATATTTATTTGTTTATTCTGCTCATCGATTGACTACCGGCGTTTGATTGACTTCCAGGCTGACTATTTTTGACTTTTTTTGCGCTTTGCAGCTGCCACAAAGCACCTGTATCCACACACTCAAACCCACGCACATAACAACAAATTAGTATAAATACATACAATGTAGGTTTGTAATAATATTTAAATTCTTGTAAACAAACAAATAATCTGTACTTTTTGGAATGATGGGTTTTTTCGGTAGTCGTTTGGTAATTTAAGAACCTTCTTCTACGCTCACCACTCACCGCTCACCACTCAGTACTTTTTCACTTCATTTCTTTTTTTTTTTTCGACTTCAGTTGCGACCGCACCTACGTTTATTTGTATAATAAATAACAAATTAAAAGTCAATAAATCGTTCGACATGCATTGGTAAATATTTGTAGTAATTGCATTTTATGACTACCAGACTTGAGCGCATGCGCCGCTTGCGCTGTTTACGCTTCGGGCGCGAATACTGCTAAGTTACAACTGTTCTGCTTTGCGGTTATAGTACGTTTCAGCTCTAATTACAATGTTAATTATTATCACTATTTTATTGCTTAATGGTTTAGCTCAGAATCTTCTTTGTTGTAAGCTAGATATATTTAGGATGACCTATATTAGACCTTCTAAAAGGGCTTCGAGGTTTTAAAAAAATTAATACTTAAAATTTTAATGAAGCGACAGGCAAATTCATTACTAAAATTGGTTTAACGCGAAATCTCGTGAAGATATTTCGTCAACTAAAAAAGCTTTCCATACAAGCACTTTATTCGGAACGTTCAGTTTATATGGCAACTATATGCTAAAGTTGACCGATCTTAAAAATTACAACGGAAATTGTAGGTTTGTCTACGGCAATAATCCACGCCAAATTTCGTAAAGATATCTCCTCAACTAAAAAAGTTTTCCATACAAGTACTTGATTTTAATCGTTCAGATTATATGGGAGTTGTAAGCTATAATGGTGTGATAGGAGCGGTTTTAACAAATGAACAGCTTTTTGGTGAGACAAGTATATGTGCAAAGTTTCAGACTGATATCTCAAAAATCTACACTGCGCTTAGCGCTAATCTTTTATATACAGAAATATTTTGTAGGGTTTTCGACGTTGCCTTCTGAATGTTCCAAACTTCATGGCAAACTTAATATACCCTATTTAGGGTATAATAAAATAGAATCCAATTTTACTGAACTGAACAAGCCGAAGCAAAATGGTACACGAAGCACAAGTAAACAAAAAAAGAAATAAACAAATAAATTTTGATTTCAGCCGACTTAATGAGCTGGGCTCTGAACTGAGCCGAACTGAGCCAAGCTGAGCTGAGTTGAGCTTTCTTCAATTCATTTATTTGTTTTTTAAATTAGCGTCTTTTATCTCACTTTATTGCCACTTTAATGACTAATTTAAATGTTAATTATTAGTTTGCAGAGCTTCATAACGAAAGCATATGCTTTTATCGAAATCGTTGATGATAAGCGCAATCGAGCTGAACGGACCCAGCATTCTCAGCAAACATAAAGCTTCAGACAAATACATATATACAAGTATATACGTTTGTTTATTTGTGGTTGTGCGCTTATAAAAATATTGCTGTGAGATTTATCTAATACCATAATTAAATTATGTGGAATTCAACTTGAGATTAGAGTAGTCTCTTATTTAGCTGGAGTGTGCGCTGCCGATCGCCGCTTGACTGTGACATCAAGTAACACTTGACTAAGCATTTCACATAGCTATAAACAAACAGATTGGAGCATGTGTGTGTGAAGATTGTGTTTTGATGTGTCTTACATTTTGGGTGGCCGGCACAGACCATTTGCCAAACAAATTCATGAAGCCGTTGCCAGTCAGTGCTGATTAAGGCAATCAAGTGTCCAATTTAGACAATGAAAAGCGAAAGTGTGTGCCAGAGCGTAATAGATGTTGCATGTAATTGCGATAGGATTACCAAAGTAAAAATTTTGGTCAGTCAATATTGTTGGAACATAGCTGTCATTAAAGAGGTGCAATATAAAATAATTATATAACACATACACTTGAGATCTGCATAGTGTTAGCCATGTATTATTTAAGAGTAATTTGATGAAATCTTTAAGTTCAAAAGCTAATTAAAATGCTTTCAATAATAAATAAATAGCTATTAAAATTGAAGCTCAATAATTGCGAGCTTTATAAATATTGCGTTTACATTACAAATACAGTTTATAAAGCTTTATCCTCTGTGGTTGTAGTAAATTTTAAAAAACCTATAGAAACTATGACTACATTTCATAATTATTTTCTATTAAAAAAATATATTGCTTTAAATGAAAGCTCTCAAACAGCTTGTCAAATTATTGTAGAGGTAACATTCATAGTAAAAATATTTATAAATCTACTTGTATAACTAAAGTAAAAATATTATACTTAAAATATTATACTTATTTTTATTCGTTATACAAAATACAAGTTTTAAAAGGTTCTAAGAGCTTTTGTAGCAAATCCAGAATAAATCCCTACAAAAGTAGTGAAAGCTTTAAGGCAAATAAATTTGAAACAAAACCGATGTAAACCGAAAATATTAAGTTCCATTGTTCATGTAGAAACTCTTGACTTACTTTCGTAAAAGCTTGCAGCAAAGCTGTTTTTAGCCTACTTCCACTATTTCACATTTTATGTAAAAATGAACGTAAAAGCCTCACATATGTATGTAAGTATTTTATAACTTAAAATTTTTATAAAATTTATGGAAGCTTTCGTGCTTTGAATGAGGTTACCTTGGCAGAATTCTTTGTGTGCATATATCCTTTACTCAAAGCTTTAATTATCTTTTTTTGTACATATAATATATTTTAATGATTTTTTAAATTTCATAAAAAAGCTTTCACCCATGAAAATTTGACAATTTTACTGCAAAACAAACATGAACAATTCGACTATGGGGATAGCTATTCAATAAAAGAGCTGGAGTTATATAAATAAAAGCTTTTGACACT